TACCCTCTTTGAAATACTCTTCCTAGCAGTAGTAATATAATTTCAAATTCAGGGGTTTCATTTCCTGGAGAAGGATATACCATGCTACATGGATGACTTAGCAACAGGCTTCTTAAATAATGAAATGAGCAATGATTTGTTGTTTGGTTTTGAGGTGTGGGTTTTTTTTTTTTTAAATTTCCCATGTCTGAAAGTATTTGCATATTTTTTTCTGAAATCACTGATCATAAAAACCGTGGTAGAGCATTTTAATGAATAAATGATTTATTGAAGAAGCCTAGCTTCACTAAGAGCTGCTAATTCCACACGTAACTTTCATTACTCCAGCCCTTGACTAGGAACAGCTCTTGTTTGTGGAAGATGTGATTCACTAATTTTCCTACAGAAAAGACTGGGGACAGGAGAGGAAGCCTGGGAAAAGAGGTTTCCAGGTTTACCTCATCTACACAGCAGCATTAGCTTGAGTCCACATAGGTGTGAAGGAGGAGGTGTGAATGCTGTGAGGAAAGGGGCATGCTGTTCAGCTGTGGTAGTCCGGATGGAGCTTCCCCTGGAAAAAAACAGATGCAAGTGAACTGCATCTGAAATTGAGGACATCAGAACAGCCATTAGTGCAGCATGCGTAAACATGCTGAATCTGGAAAACACTGAAGAAACAAAACTAATTCAAGCTGAGAGGCAGATAAGTTTGTCAAATGTGTATGCTGCAGAAACCAAGACAAAAACAAGAAGCTGGCAACAGTGCAAGGGGTATAAGAAATAATTATATTGGGAAAGGTTTCAAATTCATTACAGTATAGAGTTGTTTGAACCAGTACTGACAGAGCAAGCACAGGACTCAGAAGCAATATTTCCTATACTAATGGGGAAAAAAGTAAATTAGCTAAGGCAGAACATGATATAGACACTGCATATTGCTTCATATGCTTGACCTGAAGTGGTTAGTACTGTTCCTGAATATCATTCTACACAGTATGGTGCGTTGTGGAGCTACCTTTTCTATTTAAATGGGTAAGCAATTCTGGAGGAAAAAGATGTAACTAGGAGACTTTCAGGCAACAGGAGGATGTTTATGTGCTGACTTCAACAATGCCAGAGATTCTCTGCCACAAACAGCAGAAGTGTGATATTAGCTTTTCAGCAACCAATACCGCAGTTTAAATGTTACAGTACTGTGATTACAGATAGCTAATGAAACTAGTTGCAATATTATACCAACAAAGAGTTTTTCTAGGCAGGAAAAGTGATAGCAAGCATTCGTGGCAAACACTGGAAACCATTTGGGTGCAACAAGGCACATGATATGTGTTGGACTTAGTAATTACAATCATGCAAATTTGCTTTCTAGTTGTCTTACAAATTTTTACCTCTCAGTGTTTGTGTTTCTTCCTTCAAATGTCAAACAAGCTGCTGTGGTCCCTGGCATCTGCAGATGATTGTTGTGGTGGTGTTTTTCATTTAAAATGTTGAAGAAGAAACTGGTAGCAAACTGTTTGCAATATTGAGAAAGAAACAGAAAGTGCCAGAGTATGGAACAGGGAGATTCAGGCATATGGCTGAATTTTTAACTATGCTGGCAGCATCTCTAAAGGACTTTTCTTTCTGCAGAGCCAGCTGCATTATAAAACCACACAGTCTTTTGATAAAACATCAAGCAATCAAACTGGCAGACATGTCAGAAATGTCTGGGTCTTTCTCAGTTCTTGAGCCTCTCACTTTGTTTTTATGCTTTTCTTTACAGAGCAGCTGTCTATACCCTCAGCTGAGGTGGTAGCACATCTGTGTTAACGACCATGATTTCAAAATTAACTCACACATAATACACATTTCTGGCAAAGCACTAGCTGTTCATCGTTTGGTTTGCGATTGACCACAACTGTAGTGTGTTTAAGGTGACCTGCTTTGCTCTCAGCTGCTCATACTTGTAAATGTCTTTGTCTCTGTACATTTAAAACTGTTTGTGATGTGCTGGGACAATTCAATGAAATCAATGCCTGCTTTATGAAAGCAGCTGTGGGTTCTGATGTGACAACTAAAAAGCCTGTTCCTTCCTCCTTGCAATAGAATAGACCGCAATTTTTTTCTGATCTAGGAAATTTTGGCAGAGTCTTAGACCATCTTCATATTACGAAGAGTTAACATCAGACTTACATGCACAGTGATGCTTTTTACATTGTTTTAGGGGCCCTCTTCACAGGGAAAAGGATATTGTGTTTTACATTTTCCTCAATAGTTCTCTGGCTTAATGAATGCATTGAATGAGGTGTGGCTGAAAACCTACGTTGTTTAGTTCCACACAGTAATGCAATTTAGACCTGCTATTGTAACCTATTGGGAAATTTCACCAACTTTCCCAGAAAGTTTAAGAATATTAAGACTGTTGCAAGTAGACACATGCATGCAATAAAGCAGCTCAAATCCCAGCCAGGGTTCATTTATCTTGTGAAGGTCACTGCAGTAACTTTTTCATTCCACCTTATGCTGGTTCTGGGAGAGGCAATCAAGATGGAGCAAATTGCTAAATGAGGATACATAGGATTTTCTCTTTATTAAACAGTTACTAGATGAGGAATCAGCAGGTTGCATTCCAAGTATAGAAAACAGGGCACTTGGCAGCAGTAAATAACTTCAAAAACTTCAGCCCAATAGAATTTTGTCCAAGGATGTATCATGAATTTTTGTCTTCACTCAGATTAACTGGGATTTGACAGGGACAAGTCTTAAGCATCGACCTGCATGTGTCCAAAGATTGTTCCACAAGATAGTAGTGACCTTTGAAGAACTAACTTATGAGGCCTTCTACCCTACAGTGGATTGGAAAAACCCATTACTGTAAGGTCAGCTGGTGGAAAATAACTGTTAAAAGTGATTTCATCAGATTATATGCCCCTAATTTCATCATATAATGCTCCTACCCAGAAAATTGAGTACATTGATGCTTCAGTGTTCCAATATGATTTTGCATATCACTGCTTTTCATATATAAGCTTGACATCTCTTTGGGAAAGGGTTTTCTGTTTTAATATGTATATAATGTCTAAAAAGGTCATAATCTTTGGCTGGAATGTCAAGACACTTTGCTATACAGTTAGAACTGCAAATAATGTTAATAATATGCATATATGCCTGTAAATATTCACTTTGTAGTATGTATGTTTGTTCTTTTTTTAAAGTAGAATTTGATTTCCAAAAACAAGCGTGATTATTGTTATAATTTAATTAGTAATATTGTCAGTTGTTTGTTTTTTTTTTTGTCAAAAGAAATAATTACTATGCTATTATTGAGTGAAGAATATAGGTAAACACACATACATGTTGCAGAGACTTTTAGAATCTGTATTTTTTCATATAGGGTGAACACAGAGGTACAGAAAATATTTTGTTAGAAAGGCGGGAGTTTCTCAACAATCACATAAAAAGAACTGCAAAAATAAATGTTTTTTGTTATAGGATTTCTGAGTGGGTTATTTCTATGTTGGGTTTCTATACTGGGTTATTTCTACAAGTGCAGTGGAACAGAGTAAGGCCTGATTTTTCAGGTAAAAGAGCTGAATATTAGAAATTAAAGTTGTCAACCCTTTTAAAAATCTGTATTTAAGAAAATGTTTCAACTTCCAAGAAAAATTTTACCATACATGTAGTCTATAAATGCTTGCTACTGAGGTCAGTCTTAAAATGTCTTAAATAGATACAAGCTATCAAAGAGCACCTAATTGCTTTTATCTACAACTACAAGAAGACTAAAATAATATGACTGATGGAGAGTCTGTTGTGCTGGCTATCAGAAATAAAAATGTGATACTCTCCCAGTGAATAGTTGACTGTAATATTTAAGTTCTGCTCTGAAATACTGTTATTTTATAAAAATAGGAAAAAAAAAAGCAAAACCAAACTCACAAATAAAAGAGTTTTCATAAAAAGATGACCGCTGATATTGCCCTTGTTAGTGAATTGTGAATGTGTTGTATTCTAAATACCTGGACTTTTCTAAAATGCGTTGTTATTACTTGTGTGTGTATGAGTCAGCAGATAGCTAAATACTGCCCTGAGTTCATTACATTTGGCTAAACTGATACAATTCCTTTGCAGATATTTGACTAGTTCGGTAATAATTAGGAGGAGACATACCTCTTAATTTTTTAATTTTCTCTTTATGACCATTATATTAAGTAGCCATTCCAATTTTTGTAAAGTACCTAGTCTGCAAAATATGTAATCATTACTGTTCTTGGTTTTATACCTATGGAAACTAAAATAAACCAAATATTCAATGGCTATCACAAAGCTATAGGAAGAAATTATGTCAAATCTAGAAATTAAATAGTGAAGAATGAAACAGCAGAAAATTGTTTGATAAACCAAGGTTTTATCTCATGTTCCCTTGTCCCTGGTTTTGAGTTTTGATAAGTGTATTGCAATTCTGAAATCGTACACCAAATGAATCCATACAACAATATATATATTCAGTATATTGGACTCTGAGCCTCATACACTTATGCCTTAAAAGTATCAGTCTTCATAAGACGACAGCAATTTATGAGTTATTTACATATTAAGTGGTTGCTCTCCATTAGTCACTATCTTAAAAAAGACAGTGGAAATTCTGATAAGTAGTAGTCATGCAACTCATAATTTTCTAGCATATGTATTTAGCTAAGTGCGCTTAAATTCACTGTGTTAGTTACTACGTAAGAAATTGAGGAAATAGAATTTGTCTGTAGCAATGATATGAACAGGATAGTGTAACACTTGACAAAAAAAGATGGAGTAGACAAGAATTTGCTTTGGAATATCTGGGGTCTTACACAGATGACTTTCAATATATTTGCATTAGGAATTCTTAGGTAAAGCATTAAGCAAATGTTTCATGTACATCCAAAATCTCTTCTGAAAGAACTACATTCCAGTTGTAGAAAAGATGCGAAGAAGGAAAAAAGTTAAAGTCAAAATAAAGCTGTTACTTCTTGATGAGTTTGATACCAGCAATACTTGTATTTTAGCACTCTTACAGTACAAGAGTGACACTGATATCTTTATATGACAACAGCTTGAAGTAGTCGGAAGCATATCATGATGTCCAGTGGGATTGGAGGTTGAATTTCATTACCATCCAGGCGAAGGTATCGGAGGCGAGGGATGTTGCCATAAAAACCATGGTCTTCTGCTATAGCAATTGAGACTGGGCATATTTGAGTACCATTGACACCTGAAAATATAGATCAACATGTTAGGTAATTTTCATGGGAAAGGCTCATGATGACAAAGTTCATTAAGAAAACAAATAAAACAGGCTTCCAATGATATTTGTAAGGGAGACAATTTCTCCTATCAGAGTTGGAAAATACTGAATCAATAACAAATTGCTTTTTTGATCAAGCAAGAGAGCATCTTAGCATAATGTAATCTAGATCATTGAATCACAATATTTAACATAATGGAATCGTGAATGAAGGCCACTGGATGCATAGTTTTACCTTGGAGAGGAGATTCTAATTTAGACAACTTTTGGGTAAATATTCATTGAGAAATAGCTCTCTGCCCTCAGAAAGAGCAAAGCAAGGTTAATGCTGATGGATTTTGAACATCTTACTGCAATTACAATACATTAATTTTAGCAGATAATACTCTCCACCGAATAGCTTGCCTTCAAAATAATCGCAATATTGAATCAGAGGAGCTTTTTATATAATGTCTGAAACTTTTAACATCTGTACTTTCCTGTTCTCTCAAATTCTTCAGTACAGTTGGTTTTAACTGTGGGAATATAATGAGCGCAGTGGGATATTTCTCTTCATAATCTGAAAGCCAAGTCCTTAAAATACTTTATAAATAACACAAAGCTTGTTACAATTCAGATAAAATGTGAAACTATGGCTTAAATTGTTACCTGTTTTATAAGAGTTGAATAGATTGGGTTCTTTACATAGTGTCCCCTAAGTTACTTCTGCACTGTCAATTGCCTAAAATTCTTCTCATATTTTGTCTTAGTGAGGCTGCTGCTGCCCTATTTCAGCCTTAAAATGGCCTTATTCTAGAAAACACTAGAGTGGTGCTTTATTATGAAAGATGTCAGATTCCGTTGACAAAATTATGGCATTTAATTATTGGTCTGACTGCCTGAGGATCTTGTTGTGCCCAGATCACCTGCAAAAAGTGGTTGCATGAAGAATGTGTGCATAACAGATTTATTTGAGCACAGTTTTGGTTTGTTTGGGTTTTTTTTTTAAGCCCATAAATAAGAAAAGGAAAGCTTTTTACAAAAACTTTTCTCCCCATATATTTAGAAATGATAATATGCATACAGTTTTTGATTACAATACCACAAATTAGTTAACTGTTAATAAATAAAAACTGCCATGGTTTTAGTTTTTGTTTGATTGGTTTCTTTTGGGTTGGGTTGTTTAGTTTTTTTAAATTAAAAAAAATTGTATTTTGAAAAACTGACAAGATGCTTGAAACATCTTGGAAATGGACTTTATCTTTGCCATGGAAATCAGACAAATACATCCAGTTGGCCAAGGCCTAAAACGTTTATTATATCCATGATATCAAAATGTCCTTGTCTATGTTGTGAAACTTGTTTAGTGTTTGTAAAGCACTTGATATTCTTGGAAGAAACAAACTACAACTTATTTTTATGTCTGAAGCAGGAAGCTGGAGAGTGAGGTTTTATTATTAAAGCAGTTATTAACATTTTATAAGTGACTCAATATCTGCCTCTTCAGGTCAGTATTGCTGTCCTTAGGGGACAAGATGTGTTCTAAAGCTCTGTGTTCTCTGACTAAAAAGTTATCCCACTCCACAAGTTTTCACTGGATTAATTACTCCAATCTTAAAGTGAGGAAGCAGTTATCTAACCACAGGCCACCTATGAAGAAGTAACTTCCTGATGATGTGTGGTATGAAGTACTTTGGGTTATTATTCTCTTCCCATGAACAGTGAACCCTACCCAAGCTACCAGATGAGTGAAAGCCTCCCACTCTGCTCTTCCCTTGTTATCCTGTTCATAAGTAGACCGCTGAATTTTGCTTAATCAGGAGGGTCAGGGCAACCTATCTACATGTTTACAATTCACCCTACCTAGACTGATCTATGTAGAGGGTAAATGTCATTATAAGTAAACCATTTAGACTCTTTTTATAAACTCTGGAGAGAGATGAACACTTCCAAATGGTGGTTCACATCTCCTTAAGAAGGGTTGATTTTCCCTCTAGAATTATGTATGTCTTTCCATTAATTGAGAAGATAGTCTGTATCAGTAGTCCAAACTAGATGCAAAAATCTAGGATCATTAATTCAAATAAGATGAATTCCACCTGTTGTCAACAGTATTGTTAAATGGTGTAATAGTTAAAACTCAGACTTGAGCTGCTGTAGGGGCAAACTGCAGAAGAGATTCTCATTAATGGCTAACAGCACGTCTGCTGAAGAACACATCTGAACACAGAAGATATTGTTTCTTTTCCAGTAAAAGTCATAATTTAGAAACATTCAGAAAATAAGTTCGGCAAGAAGGTAGATACATTCTGACATATGAGTGCGAGCGTATTTCTGTTCTATTCTTGCAACATCTAGCTGCACTTACTGTAATCCAGCTCAAATATTTGGACTCCCCTTCTCCTTGACACATAATATTTGAGTGCAGCAGCCACAGATCAGGCAGGAAATCTTTACCTTTCTGGGCTCTTCTAGCAAAGAAGCTAGTACCGTCCAATAGCAGAGAGGTCTGACAGTAAGTCAGGTTCTATAACTTCAGCCATTTCTTTTCAAAATCCTATAATGGATTCTGACAGACTGGCACTGCTACTTGGCCCAAGGACTTTTCCCTTTCTCTAAGATAGTATAGTACTATCTCAGAGGACATACCCCAAACTCCTGGTGTTCCTCTAGGGGAAGTTACTGCCCACTTCTTTTTACCACTCCTTTGATAGCACTGTAACACCACCTGCTTACCCTGGCTCACTCTCCACATCGTTTCATGCCTTCTCCTCTTTTTATTTCCTCTAACACTCCCTTTTTCATCATTTGACGTCTCCCCATAGCCTCACCTGTATATCTCATAAATAAACAGGTAGGGTGAATTGTCAACATGTAGATGGATTGCCCTGACCCTCCTGCTTAAGAAAATATGTTTAAAAAAAAGAAAACTAAAATTAAATGGAGCAAGTGTGGTGAGTTGTAGCCATAAATAATTTAAAGTTTATGTTGATTTTGCTTCCAAATTTTAAGTTTGCCTTTTTTTTTTTTTTTTATAGTCTGCACATTTTGATTCTTAGGGTAGAGACCACAGGAGAAGCCCTGGTTCCACTGAGACCACTGATGAGGCCATCACTGATTTCACTGGGCTTCAGGATATTGCCTTATATCTTTATAATTTTTTTCTGGAGGAATAAGGCCTTGGACTTATGTGAAGAACTGATTTTAAAGCAGGCAAATGCAATTAACATAGAACTTTTGATGTTCTAGAGCTTGGAGTGCCAGCAGTGTAACTGTGAGCTGCCAAGAGAAAATAAAGCAGCAATTGGCAGGTGTACAGGGGTATCTGACAATTAGTACTGTAAAAAGGGCTTGTTCTGCACACATAAAAGTAAGCCCTTAGGAAGACTCCTTTGCAGAGAAACCAGACCCAGGATTTTACAGCTATTTTTCTCAAATCATTTACGTTGGCTATCTTAAAGTATGATTGATCATGAACTTCCAGGGTTTAAGAAGACAAAAACAATCTGCAGAATTAATGCCACATTTTATTACTCTTGCCTGATGGAATCACATTCCTTGTTTGCAATCCTGAAGGCCCTTTGAGATATTGTCTATTAGAGCAGTGTCTCCTGGAGATGGTGTCATTATCACTTACCTCTTGAACAAATATATTTTGTGATAAAATATATAATATCTGCATTTCATTTAAAGTGTCAGGTTGCCTTTTTAAATGTTTCTGTACTACTTTATAAATAGTTATTAACAGTAAAGACTTCATTTTTAATTAAGAACAGTGTTGTGCTTAAGATAGTGATTAATTTTGAAAAGTGGTAAAGTCATTAAGAAATATGAGGCTTGTGGAAAACTACTCTGATTTATGCTTGTGGGTACCTATGTGTCATTGGAAAACAGGATTTGAGTTTGGACATACTTCGGAGGCTGATTTTCATGGTTTTAACTTCTTTTTAACTTACTTAGTAAAGGAAGATAATTTGGCAGTCCTTTAAATACTACCTAGACACAAAACACTTCTTAAACTGAACAGGCTACATTTTTCATGAAAAAGCAAAGTATGAAGAATATATTCAAGCCTAAAATGTTCAATATCCACATTCTAATTATTCATATTTAAAATAGATTTTGTTGACTACAGGCAACATTGTATTCTCTCTTAAGGGTGCATCACATTAAGAGTTCTACTACTTTAGGTGGACAGAGAGATACTCAAAACTGAGCATACAGCAGTTCTGTAAGTTTAATGGAGTCCCTAAGGTGCAGGAATTTTGAAAATCTGACAGTCAATACAGATGTGGATTGAATATCCTCATTTGTGGCACTCACTTTTTAGTTGTTGTTTCTTGCTTTTTTGTTCCTGCCTCTTCTGTGCATAATTAATTTGTTTCTACAAAATAGTTACTGGCATGTATACAGTGAAATGTGAATGCACAAATTCTCCTTAATCCCCACATATTTCTAATCTGCTTGCAAAGTGGTTTATCTGTATGCATACGAACATTTTTTTACGTATGGTATTAGTTCCATGCACATATTTGGTTGTCATATCTTAGACCTGACTTGAAAACTGGCCTGTGGGAGGTCCTCTTTGTCTTCTTCCTATAATCTACAGCACATTTCAACTTTTTTATTTAAATGAGCATTTTTTTTTGTGGTTATATAAACATTTTAAAATAACTGTCTTGGTAGGATCCCACATTGACAATACACACTTACTTTTGATTCTGTTGTGGTCAAGGTGAAGGTGCTCTAGATGAGCATTGATTGGTGGAATTTTAGTGAGCTGGTTGTGAGACAGCTGTAGATCTAGGATAGATGAAACATTAAACCCATTTGGGGGAATACCATCATCAGATAATTTATTGTAGTTCAGCCTGAGGAAAGTCACTTTGGGTATTGCACTGAAGTAGTTTTCTGGTATCACTTCAATGGAGTTGTTGTCCAAAAACAACTGCAGTGTGTTAGCTGGGATGCTTAAAGGCATTTTCTTGAGTGAATTTTTTGCTATGTTGAGTTGCATGAGATTGTTGAGTCCTTGGAATGTGTTGCTTTGAAGAGCGCTGTCCAACAAACTGTTCTGGTGCAGATCTAACATAGTAAGGTTTTCCAAGTTGCTGAAGGCTCCTTCTGGGATTCTGGAGATTCTGTTTCTAGCCAGTCTTAGCTGTTCCAGGCCCACTGGTAATGGGGCAGGCACTTCCTCCAATTCGTTATCTTCAAGGAATAAGTAAAGCAGCCTTTTCAGCTTGCTCAGTACACCACTCTCAATTCCACTGTTGGTGATCTTATTCTTGTTCAGATTTATCCATCTCAGATAAGTGGCATTCACAAAAGACTTCTCTGAAATTGTTTCAATTAGATTGTTTTGAAGATAGAGGTACCAAATTCTTGCTGGGATTGCAGGTATTTCTTTAAGTCCTTTGTTATCACAATATAATGCATTGGGGAAACTAGGAGGACAAAAGCACTCTCGTGGACACTCAGAAGTGTAGCGAGACCAGTGCTCAGGGTCCAGCTCATCATAAACTTGCCTCACAATTCGAGTCCATGCAGAATTGAATAAGAATAAGATCAAAAGGCTTGTACAGACTTTTAGAGTCATTATTTGCCTTGGAAGGGAAAAAAAACAGTTAGCCAACTCTCAACAGAACTCTCTAACAGCATGCTAGATTAGATTAACAAACCAATATTAAATAGAAAATAGTACTTTGTAAACAGCCAAATTCTGTCATCTGCGATATTACTTATGGTATGCTAAGGAAAAAAACTGATCAGAAATATAAGAGATATATAAATTTCAGTGCTATATGTTGAAGAACATTTTCCTGATTCAACTTAGACTCCACATTGGCTACCAGTTTAACTGATATTCATGCAAATGTCATTTCAAAGATCATGAAAGCAAGCATCGTTTTCCTGACATTAAATCACTGTTTCGTATAAATTTGTTTTTCCTGTATAAAGCTATACATTACTCTATATAATGTGCCATTTTCAGTAAAGCTATCAATACCATGATGATATAAATACTGTTATACTCAGTGTTTCTCCTTTTAAAATTAATCATACACTCTTTTCTGTTTTTCCTTTCAAATTCTAATGTCATCTGGATCAGATTTTCCAGGGTCCTTTCTCATCACAGAGAAGTGAAAGATCAAAGACTGTTTTAACAGCTGTTTGTTGGACATGTTCTTAAAAAGCTTAGAGGGAATATGTTTGAGTAATCCATTTTCCTCCTGCATTCACTCTCATATCCAAAGTTACGAATTTCTTTCTCTAAAGCAAACAGCCAGAACAAATGCCTGATCTAAATAACACAAAAAGTAAGTCCTAGCTAAATTATATCATATGCATTCACGCATCTTGTATCTCTTTTACTTACTTAATTATTTGCTTTGTTTAGCTTGTTCCACCCTTAAAGGGCGAACAGAATAATCAATGATAATTTACTCCAGAAAGAAATATTTGTGCAGCACAAAACAAGTGCTTCACAAACTCTGTTAACCTGCTTGCTTCCTGATGAAGATTAGCAAGCATTTTGCTTGCAGAGGTAAGAGATTGATAGCTGAAATTTCTAGTCAAAATTAGGAGTCTAGTGTTGGCAAAAAAAAAAAAAAACAAAAAACAAACGTATTAAAAGGATTAATGAACCAGTAAGGTTAAAAGCTCATTTAAGTTGATACATATATGTACGCATTTTATAGTTTTCAACATTATTAGCAGTAACAAGTGCAAAATCCTACAGACCTTCTAGCCTCAGAAATTGCTATCTGGAAACATTCCAAAAAAAGGACAAATAAAATGTTTCTAAAGAATAACATCTCCAGTTTACACAGTGAAATGGCACCTTCTCTCTATGTAAATATTCATAACTTTAATAGCATTTTTAAAAAAGAATGTAAAGTAATTTACCTTGTTAGTCAAGTTCCTGGAGCTATCTGAAGCCAGTTAGAAATCACTGTAAATTTGCAGCTTTTTGGCTGCTAACCTCTATGTTAACTTCCTGTCCTCCCAAGTATTAATAGCATATAAAACTTGACGCACGTGCTAGTATTCCCTGATGTATTACCATATACACCTTATTAGCTATTGTCTCTAATTTGACATTTCTTCAGAGTTTGGGCTTACCTCAGCTTTCTTGGATCTCCTTTTCTTTCTATTGGTCACTGTTGTCAGACTGTAATAGCTTGAGTCAGGCTACAAGCCGTGTTCTATGAATACAGCCTAATATATACGCATCAGTGGCTACAGCTTTTAACCCCTAAAATAACTAAGGCACCTCAGCACCTAGGCAGGAAAAGACAGGAAATCCTGACTTTAATAATAAGCTGCCACAGAGCTGAAGATATCTGTTTCTTACAGTTTAGTTGATGAGATGAACTGGTCTAGCTGAAACAGGTAACACAAAATGTACCTTTATTCAAAATTTGTGTCAAAAGATACTTTACATGCAAACCTCACTTGCATCATAATTCATTCTCATAATAACTGAACTGGCCACAGAGAATTAAAAACAGTGCCATCTGTTTCTAGGGAAATATTTTATTTGATTTTTATCAAATGCAGATGCTGCCATGACATTTAAAGAAAATTCTTGATTAGGAGAAGGAGATAGCAAAACATTTGCTAAGAATTTTTTAATAACTTATTTTCATTAAAAAATTAAACCATATGTTTTCCTTTTTCTTGAGAGAGATTTACATAAATTTCTACAAAGTTCTCATACTCTCCAGTGCCTCCTGCAGTAAGGTCTGGTTTTAATTACCAAGGTACAAATTAATGAACTTGGCTGATCATTGATCTAAAGTAAACCCTTTCCAGCCAACTTGCTATTCAAGGCAAAGACACATATTTCTCATATTAAGTATTTTGGAAGATTTTTGTTTTCTTTTTTAGTTTAAACTTAAAGCTACAACTTAATATCAGGAAAACCAGCCATGTTCAAAGCCAGAACAATAGCCATATGTATTTTAAGGAAAAAAACTAATGAAGATACTGAAAACAGAAAATATATCTTGGTACCTTTTATAAGTTTATATTAGTTTTAAAACTAAATTATATAATTATTTTAATTCAGTTTCATCTAACATTTTAGGAATAAAAATCTCTATCCACATATTTTGTAATGTTTAATACTTTGTTTCCTAAACTAAAAATATCTCAGAAGAATTCTAGAAATAAACAAAAGTAATAAGATAAGTAATCAAAAGAAGGAAAGCAACCCTTAAGTACAGGGGCAGCTTTCACTGACTTAAGCAAGTCTAATGTTAAATAAGTCATAATATTTTTTTTCATAAGTGTATGTTTGTACTACTTTGGTTTTTGTTTAGGAAATATATAGTACCAGTAATTTTTACAGGGCTTAAGTGTGTGCTTAAAAACCCCAGTGCTTAAGTAAGTGTTTCATTCTGCTAGAACTACAGACCCTTCAGCATTTCTTGGAGATTATTAGAGCTGTCGTATAAGCCAGGTTTAAAACTGATTCCTTCATGAATACTAAACTAAATACTCAAAAGGTTTAAATTAGATGAAATCAATTTATACCTAAAAATAAAGGCTCTAGCTTTAAAGAGATGTACTAATTATAAGCATAAAAATTAGACGTGATGTATCAACCTTTTCATTGTGAATATGACTCTAAACACCTGGGCTTAAAACTTCTTCTTTGACCTCCCACAGAAGACGTGATACCACACATGCATGATGAGGAGGCTTTTCAGCTGGAGTCCTCAGAAGAGAAGTGGGAAGAGACAGAGGCACCCTTGTATGAAGGTTAAAATACTTGTGTGTTAAGTTGTAAGCAATTTAAAGAGGCTTCACCATGAAAAGTAGATCTATGATTATTGTAAAAGCCAGGCAGTGTAATATTTTGCATCTATGCTAAATTTTCAGCATGTGTAGGGAGAATATGGAGGCACTCAGGTGTGCTTACCGTTAAAGAACGAGCCAAGACATTCACAGATGTTACACTGAAGGATTTAAAATGGCGAGTCCTGGTGGTAGATATGTTGTGACACACTTAAATGCAAGTTGCCAGATGTTGCACATTTAACAAAAAAAAAAAAAGAAAGAGTGATTTATCTTATGCTTCATGGAGGTCTGAATTTACCCTTTAACCTTCTAATCATGTTCAGATGTTCATTATATTAACACAGAAGTCACCTTGTGATAGGCAGTGGGACTTTTTGTATGTACTACTCTTCAGCAAGAGAGAGGCACACCACAGTCTACCCTTTGTGGATTTAGAGGACAGGTATCCTTATCAAGCACATAACCTGCCAGCCCATTCACAGAAGCAGTTCTTCACTAGGAAAAGAAAACAACAAAAACATTTGTTAAGACTTTCTCAATAATGTGAGTTTTCATTTCTCCTGATGCAAACAAAGACCAGAAAAAAATGACAAGAAATATCTTCAAAATCAGGAAAAAACAATGCAACTACTCTAATATGTATTCTTATGTGCGCTCAAAAATTTTGAAAAGATTTCTGCAGGAACAAGTGGTTGCTTGGGTGCCCAAGTAGACCTTGCAGAAAGGTTTGCTTTCCAGAAACCTTCAATATTATACACATATACTCAGTCATGCATTTGTTTTGTTCAGTCCTCTATGATCTGGTGTACCATTTATTATTTAAAGGGTGCAATATATGGTGATAAAGTTTTACAAGCTGATACAGGACCACAGCCAGGATTTTTAAAAAATGACTAATGGTTTGGGAGGTTTTTGTTTTGAGTATCCAATCTGAAACACTTCCCAGGGCTTTATTTCTTTTAATTATTTCAGTAAGAGAGGACTAGGAATTTGTAGTAATGAGGTAATTTTTAGCTTGTGAAGCTGAGCAAAGGCAAATATCATTGAAACATAAACTGCTCCTGAGACCATGAGCAACCTCCCCAAAAGTAACAGTATGCAATGTATTTGCATAACAATGAAAGGAAGTAGAAAAGTTATTACAGTAAAAATACTGTGAAAGTCTCCTCTCTGAATTTTGGAGACCTTTTAAAACATACTGTTGGGAGTAGTCTAGTTTGAGGAAGATATCTCAAGCCCTTACAGGACTTTTGCTCCATATGTCTCCATATGGCAGTCCACGTTGTTAATCAGTGTAATAAAAGAATCTGTATTAGAAAAAAAAAATCAAAAAGTGAGGAGCACCAAAAACCTCAGAGGGTGGTAACATCTCCTTGAGCAGACTGATGTTCGTGTTTGAGATTAGAAGAGCCCACAAGCTTAAGTCTAGAAGGGCTAAAGAGATAGACTAGAAAGACTCACTGGGAGGAGATGTGGACAACTGGGAGTGCTGTAAGAGCTGTTGTTCTCTTTCAGCATCGAAGTTGCTGACAGTGAAAAAATGCACTTTTTTCTTTCAGTAATGGCTGCCATATGTCTCAGATTTAACACAAGGCAAGGTCTGTTAACCATCAAGCACGTGTATGGTTCATCCCCAGCAAACCCAGGAGTATACTACAAGCAGGACTAATTCACTGACCCTGTGGATTGCTCTATTTAGCAAAGGCTGCAGTCCAATGTGCCCAGTTAGCGTGGTACTTTAGTGAAATGTTAGGCGTCTTGATCCAAAGGACAATCAGTTTATCTAAAACAGGCACTT